TTGGAGAACGACACACCAATCACCCTGCACGGAGGATCCCTCCCGCGGAGTACGAGGAGAGCTGCCGGACCCGGCATACCTGTAATGTAGACTAGTCCGGCTCTGCGATCTCCCTCCTCGTGCATCGCCTGCAGCTCCCGACACAGCCCTGACACAGCCCCGACACTTCTGCTTCTGAGAGAGCAGCGGCAGCCAATCAGGCAGGCGGGCCAGATAAATGACCCTGGCAGGCCGTATCCGGCCCGCGGGCCATAGTTTGAGGACCCCTGCTTTAAAGGATATCAAATAGAACTAGGTTAAATGCTGCTTGTCATCATTCCAAAGTACAACACACAAAATAATTCATTTAACTTACCAGTGGTCCTTGGTTAACAACCACTCATTCAACGACTGTTCAAAGTTATGATGGCACTGAACCAGTGGTACTTACAACTAGTTCTTGAAGTTTTGGACATCTCAGCACCCCCATGATCACATGATTGCAATCTGAGTGCTTGGCAACTAGCTCTCACTTACGATGGTTGCAGCATCCCAGGATCACATGATCACCACTTATGACCATCCCTGCTGGCTTCCCACAAGCAAAGTCAATGGGGAAGCCAGCAGGTAAGGTCTCAAGTCATTCTGATAAGTCTCCCCCACCCAGCAGCAGCCAGCCCCAGCCCCAACACACTGCACCAGCCAGCCACACACCCTCATGCACCCTCTCCCACCCAGCAGCAGCCACTTACTTGCCTGCTGGCCTGCTTTCAAGGACCCGAGACTTGTAACTTCTTGCCAGCAGGAACCACTGACTTTGGTTGTTCGAAGCCAGCAGGAAGTTGCGAGGAGGTCCTCACTTAATGACCCATAATCCTCACTTAATGATGGCATTGGGGAGTGCTGGGATTGCTGTTGCTAAGCAATGCAGTCATGTGACTTTGCACTATTACTGCATTGCTTAGTGATGGAAATTCCAGTCCCAATTACCGCTGCTAACTGAGGACTATCTGTACAGTAAATGACAGGCCAATAGAATATATACACAGCTTCCTAATATTAAGAAAAAATAAACAGTATCACCAATTATGATTGAATTGATGGACTTCTTTTCACTGGCTACGTTTAAGTGAAAGCTAGAACTGTGTCTGTCACAGATATTTAATTCCTGCACTGAACAAGGGTCAAACTCCAAAGTCTAAATGGCCCCTTTCAACTCTACAAATATATGAAATGTATGAGTCTATGTTCATTCTGATATTTCATGAAATGGTTTAATAGGTCCCAGTATATAGTAGTCTCATTTAGTCCTTTGGTACACAGTTCCTTAGCTTAAATTCTCATTTGAAAGTCTTTCTCATCAAAGAATGCTTAAAGAAGCATGAAATCTTTGGTTCATAATGGAACAAAAGTCTGGTCCAAGAAAAAATTAGGAGAAAAAAATGGGAATTTTCCCCCAATGTTCTCTCTTAATTCTGTTCGTGCAATGTAGTCCTCAATTTATGACCATTTGTTCAGTGACTGTTCAAAGTTACAACTGCACTGAATGAATGGTGGTTATGACCAGTCCTTTGAGTTCCAGCTGTCCCAGCAACACACAGTCATGTGATCATGATATGGGTGCTCAGCAACCACCTCGCAGTTACAACTGGTTGTAGTGCCCTGCAATCGTGTGATCGCGTTGTGTGACCTTCCTGCCAGCTTCCCCAGAAACTCAATGGGGAAGCCAGCAGGGAAGCTGCAAGTCACTGGGGTAAGTTTCTCCCACCCATGCACCCTTCCCCAGCCCCTCTGTGCTCATGTCATGCCAGTCACTTGTGCACCCCCACACACTCTCTCTGACCCTCACCAAGCCTCCTTCGCACCCTGTGCACCCTTGTGCACCCTCCCTGAGCTTCGCTGTACCTCTCTTGAACCCTTGCATGTCCTCGTGCACCCCTGCACACCATCCCCAAGCCTCACCATGCCTCCCTTGCACATCCTCCCTGAGCTTTGCCATGCCTCCCTTGCACCCTTGTGCACCCCCACACACCCTTGTGCACCTTCCTTGACCCTTCCCATGCCTCCCTCACACCCTTGCATACCCTCCCCGAGCCTTGCTGCACCTCCCTTGCACCCTCATGGACCCCCTTACGCCCTCCCCCACCTGGCAACAGCCACTAACCCACCTGCTGGCCTGCTTGCAAGCCACCTGAATCTTGCAACTTCCTGTCAGCTTCCCTGCCAACTGACTTGGTTGTGGGAAGCCAGCAGGAGCTTGCCTCACTGAACAACCATAGGATTCAGTTAACAACGGTAACTGGGAGTGCAGGGATTCCTGTTGCTAAACAATGCAGTCATGGTTTATGACTGCATCACTTAGCTATGGAAATTCCAGTCCCAATTGCTGTTGTAAATGGAGGACTACCTGTAATTATTTGAATTGTCTGTCTGATATAAATAGTACAAGCAGAACACACATCTGCTTTGTCCCATAGTTTACATAATGATTTTGTTTGTATGACATGGCTGGTCGAGTCAGCCACAGGAAAGATATTTTAATGATATTAGCAAGTTTTTTTTTTTTACTTGTTGGTTAGAACACTATCAAAAATATTGAACGTCAGAAACATATTTTTCAAAAAGGGGGAAAAAATAAAATCTTGGCGTTGCTAAAATAAGAAGGTGACCTGTGACTACCCATACTTTGCTTAGTAAATACCCTTTAACTTATTTATTTTATTAGGTATATATCCTATCTTTTCCCTGCAGGAATTCAAAGAAGTATACATGTATTCCCCCCTTCCAATATTATCCTCATAACAGTTTCACAGTTGAATAGAATTTTAAATATGAGTGCTCCTAGCAACAAAGATGGATGTCTGCTATCTGTATTACATAATTATTAGAACT